TTTTTTTTTTTTTTTTTTTTTTTTTTTTTTTTTTTTTTTTTTTTGAAACAGAGGTGTATTTGGGCTTATTAGTTGAAATTTGAAACTAAATTTGTTTGTTTACATCTAAACAGAGCTTGATGTTGCTTTCAGTCTTGTCCTTTTTTTTTGTTTGTCGCTTCAAGTGTTTGGTTTTTGATTCATGCTGATATTTTCACTTTACCGAATGTGTATTGCAATCTTCACTTGGGAAAAACATGGACTATAAGTGAAGTGTGGTGTAGAATGAGACACAGAGTTTAGATGGTAAGGGTATGAGAGATGGTTGGTTGGTTGGTTTGCTTTACAAACTAAGGAGAAGGACTCTTTTGCAAGGGTGTGGTTGTGAAAGATTAGCATTTGGACATGGAGATGAGGATACGATCCCCAGTGTTTTTAGCAGGAAGCTTTGTTCTGTGTTGTCTGCATTAACTTTCTGCGCCGATGAGCTTAGAAGTTCAGCTTGTTCCATCAATGCTGTCACTTTATGGTCATCTTTCTTGAGAAACATCCCCTTGACTATCATTCTCCTTCACATTGCTTGTTTGATACTGTTCTTCCAAGCGATCAATACCTATTGGAGAACTTACCTGCTGATTCAGACCACCCACCGTTAGAGTTTGAGGTTGAGCTTTTATTCCACCTGCCTGAAACCACCTTTGCTATCTCAGTCCAACTATTTCCAAATAGTCAAATACTCTGTGTGCCTAAGAAACCACATACATTAGCTTAAAGATGATCAGCAAAAAAGAATCTAAAATCTAATCCAAGTAAATAGATGAAGACTAATTTGTTCTCTAAGTATAAGATCCCCTCCTACAACTCCAGAAACCTATTTCAGAATCAGAGCAAAAACAGAGAGATGGACACACTGTAAGTCCATCATATGTATTTTAACTTATAACATCTCTGGTGTCCAAGTAACAATGTGACATTCCTTCTTCTTATGAATCTTCCTTATTCATATTCTTTGAGATGATTTTTTCCAGTCTAGCACAGATAAACAACCCATAATCACAAACTTTTAGTTAGTGGATTATGCTATAAATTATATTTGCTGATATTAATCCTTTCCTTAAAAAGTTTACTTTGTTGATATTAATCATATCATGTATAGTCTATACTCTAGCCCATAAATGTTAAAAACAAATTCATTAAATGAGATAATTAAGACCTTACTATCTATTCTTCTTGCTGTTGCAACTTTATTTCTCATGAACATGTTGAATACAATTTGGATGTTATCTTCCAACAATCCAAACAGGTCAAAGTTTTTCGGCGTGATAATTATGTGTAGCATACGAATAATTAATGTACGAGAGAAATTCAACGGAAAGGAAAGTTCACAGAAGGAGAAGAACCAAAAAAAATAAAAGAAAAGAACGTGTGCCTAACAGTTGTATGATGTATTGAGAAACGCAGAGAACATTATTATTGTTCTTGCATATGAATGAATGATACTTACGTCTCTCTTTCTCCATCTCTCATTGTCTAGTTGGTACTTCTCTCTACGGCCACGGCCCACGTGTATCATACTTAACTAGTAAAATACTTCAGATTAATTTAAACATTTCGATATATAAATCTGTTTCATATTCGTAAATGAAATTTGAGATGATACGGCTTAAAATAATAAGAAATCCATTTTGAAATTAATTACAGTTCGGGATATACAAGTAACAACTGAAAGTTCCTCTTTTGGGTAACCAACCTTAACTTCAACTCTTTGTGCTTTTAACTCAAAAAGGTTTAAAATATGATATTTCTTATGTTTCATATTAAATATCATTTTAAAGAATTTTTTTTCGATTTTCAATACAAAATTTATTAACTCTATTCTGCAGTTTATTATTCTATTGGTTGATATATGATTAAGTTTATATATAACTATGTTTTTATATAAAAAATATGCAAAATTAATTATTTTCTTAATCCGTGTGCTACTAAAATAACACTTATAATAAAACAGAGGAATAATATTGTAGAAAGTAATAAATAGTTATAACTTAGTTGAAACTTGAAACAATAATGTGCCATTATGGTGGTACAAGTTCAACTGTCAAGTATATGAAGCTTTTTTTTTTTGTTTTGTGCACAAGTATATGAAGCTTTCGAATACGATTATATAAAGTATAATTATACTATTGTTGACAGAAAAAGAGAGAGAAAGCCATTATAGTTAGTGGTGGAGGCAGGATTTGGTTTTACTAGGGTCAATGTAATAACATACTACAATTTACATGGGTCAATAAGTTAATTCTTCAGAATTTCATCAAAATTATGAAGGAAAATACAAGTAATTTTTCTTTTCATGTGGGTCATGTAACCACCCTGGTTACATGTTAGTTCTGCCACTGATTATAGTATGTGTTTTTTTCTGTTTACAAAAATACTCTAAAAATGGTATATGGTACAGGAAATAGTTAGAGTCTGGGTCCAGGAACCATTATCTTTACCAATTTTTGTTTAAAAAATCTTTACCAAATATGATTGAAATTAGAAAATAAAAGGTTGACTATGGTCTATATGTACTAACGTATTGTCTTGCTTAGTTTTAATTCCGATTCAATTTCATAGAGAGGATCAAAGAATGATTTTGGTATTGAGTTGCCGACAATTTGGACATATACAAACGCGTTTCATCAATCTGACCTAATTTTCTTAAATCATAATTTTCTTCGTCTTTAACTAGCTTGATTTTAGTCGATTCAAAGAATCCCATTTCAAGTTGATATCATCCCATTTTCCTCGAGCATCATTAATAATATTTAGTTCTACAGTTATTATATATCTAGAATGCTTTTCATTAGGCTACGTCTGTACGTCATCTTATAAGGACGATTATTCAAAACAACTCGCTTTGGATCATTACTTTATAGTAAAGGGAAGAAAAATCTTGAATGTCTAATAATAAAGGCTAACCTAATACAGTATAATTTTGGCAATTTATCCCTTTCTTTAATATTGATGTAAATTAGTTATTAAAATTATCGGTGTGGTGATGATTCTCTTTAGGAATGTTTTATTTATACCTAGAAGCTGGATCAATTTCATATAATAATGTAATTATCGATTAAGACAACATTTTTATATCTAACAGTCGTAATTTAAAGTATATTAATGTGGAAGGAAAAGGAATGTGAACAAACAACACAAACAGATCACGTGGACAGCTCTTAGAAGTTCACTTTCAGACACAAGTCACTAACATACACCCAAAATACAGTCACCTATATTCGATTATTTTCCAAGAAAATTAAAAGCAAAAATACCTTTGTCCAACCAATATTCATTAAAAACGGAAAGAGAACAAAAAAGCTATATGAAAATAGTCATGATTCATTCGATATCATACAAATTTATCTCCAACTATATATATACATATCGTTGATAAGATAGGAAAAATTAAAACTCATGGTTATTGACCGTTGACTCCCAAATTTGATAAAACCAAATTAGAAAATACTTCCACCAAATTTACGGAAATTTTTATTCAAAAAGTATTATTACAAAAATCCCAATGTCACAAGACCAAGTTTTATTCTATTACCAAAGTTGTATTGCTGGTACCAGGTTTTAATTTCTTTTTTCATCAAAGAACAGAATTCTTTAAAAAGGTTCATGAGCTTTGGGAAATACCTTACTGATAAGAACCAAAACTCTCTTTTTCTATATGGCCAACCAATTCAATTCATATCACGCATTTCAAACTTTAGCCTTAAGAAAATAAACAAATAAGCATGGGAAAAAACGTATAGACAGTAAAAGAATTAAGAGAAAAAGCGGTTCGATTAGATTAGTCATTGGAAAGCACTCTTGCTGCCGTCCAAATAATGTTTAAGATGATGGCTCCCACACGTGTTAGTGAGTGGATTAAAGCTGGCAACTCGCAGTAAATTATACTCAATAATCCTTTAGTTGCACGCTATAATCTTTCGGCGTGACTCAAGCTTCGATTTATATGATACTACTCTGTAAGATAAGCAGCATAGTACCAATATGACATTATTGTTGAGTATACATAATAATCAGTGTGGGTAAAATATGCAACAATGGTTGAATATGTAAGATAAGCATCGTACCAATATGACCTTTATTGTTGAGTATACCTAATAATCAGTGGGTAAATTATGTAACAATGGTTGAATATGTAAGATAAGCTTCGTACCACGTGACCTTATTAAAATGAAGGTGATAAAAATAATGATATATAGCCCATTTTACTCCTCAGTCTCATTGTAGAATGTTGTCGATATTTTTGAAAATGTCACTAACATTAGTATAGTCCACTGTTAATCCGCGAAATTGTCTTCATTTATTTTAAGTATATCACTAGTAAACATTTAAATAATCAGAGGTTAATCTATGTCTCTATCTATGCTGCGGAAAATTCCTGGTTTAACGATAAAAGAAGACGTGTGGAATATGATAAAGCACATGTCAAAGAAAACGGACGACTAATGAGGCCATCACATAAGTTGCTTTTGGGGTCAACGGCCGGCTTAACGCCCACCACATAAGTTATGTAAATGCAGTAAACCTCGGTGATACTGTTAATAATAAAAGGAATAACAATAATGTTAAATGAAATTAAGTAAAGACAGTAATTTCATGGTTTATACGCAAAATATATACTCCCACGTGCGTCAACACGTGCTCCATGAACCTAGATTCACTTTGTCGACAGCTTTCTCGTTTTCCTCATCTCTGTGTTCAGCTATTCTGATGAAACACACATACATGCTCTCTCCGTACATTTCTTTAATTGAAGCTATATTCGGAAAGCATAAAAAGAAGCATTATATTCGGTGGAAAAGAAAAGAAGCATTATATTCCTAATAATATTTGTTTGGGTGGGAAATGCATATAGTTAAGTATTCTGTTATCCAATTCATATACCACTACCATATTCCATTGACTAAAATTTCAAATGAAACCGATGTCTAGCCTTAGAACAAATGGCTAGTGTGGGTAAAAATAGTTTAAATGATTTTTGTGGAGTTGTTTGAAAGAGAATATTTTTTTTTTGAACAAAAAAAAGAGAGAATATTGGTAAGAGCACATTGGCAATGGTAGAGGATGAAAACTGAAAATGATACCGTATATAAATCCTTTCTCAAAAAAAAAAATTGTACCTTATATAAATAAGAGTATAAATGAAGATGATATGAAGATGAAATAACTTTTTTTAGATGATGTTATTAAATATATAAAATTGATCATTCTTTATATTTTGGTAGAGAAAACGAAGAGTTATTAACACTATAGGGCAGTTTTCATGTTTTTATTACACTATAGGGCAGTTTCAGCTACCAAGGTAGTTTTCTCTAACTCTTTATCTTTCTTCTTAACTAAACGTAACTAGAAAAAATATTAAGTTACCTTAAAAAAATCAAGAAATTTTGAAACCCAAAAAACCATCAAAAATAATCTTCATCTTCTTTATCATAATTTTCACCGATGATTAACAAACAGAGACAAGGATGATGACTAAACCCAGAAAATTACGACCAGATGGGATACTGGCTATGTGTGATGGTGAATCCAAAGCACATCAACCAAGCTTCTTCCTCTGCCAGTGAACATCAATAGAGCTCAATAAAACTCTAACTAGAATGGCCAAATCTGAAAAAAAAAAATTCATTATTTTTGAGGTCAAGTTTAAAAAAAATTATAGATATGGTAAAGCTACGATCTTGAAGTGAAATCTATAATTAAAACATAAAAGAATAGAAGATTATGTGAAAGAAATCAATGGCGGCCGCAAAAACTGTTGCAAAAAACCTAAAAGTTTGGGGAAGACGAAGTCAAATTTACTAAAATACCCCTAACTAAAAAATTAAAAAAAAACAAAAAAATCATATGTACGTACACGCAATTTATTATCCACATGTACAACGATTGTTGTTGTGATTTATGTATATAGTCATTTGTACATGATATTATGTATACATAATTTATTATCTATGTGTACTACGATTGATATGTACACAATATAAAACATTTCATCAAACCATATATGGTTATTTGGCGAAAACCATAAATCTTAATTTGCATCTTAAAAAAACTAATTTTGTGCTTAGAAAGCAAAAATTGCTTATTTTAGCTATTTAAGAGTACAATGAATATGTAGAAAATCTTTCTTTACGGAACAAAAAAAAAACTCAAAAATCTTACTTTCGTAAAACAAAATTTAATGTTGGTGGTGAATGTAAATCACTCAGAAATGAATAGGAGATCCATGGTGGTGAATCGTTATTCGGTGGTGGATCACTTCAAAAGGAGCTGGTGATGATGAGGGGTTTCAGGCGCTCATGGAGGAAGGAAAGAATGAGGTTTACGAGTCACTTGTTTTCAATTGTTTTCTTATTAATTTTTTTCTTATATACATGGTACATTGTTTTAATAATAAAGAGTGTACACAGATGAAAACGTACATTTGTAAACATGTACTTTTTTGTTTTTTTGTTTTTATAATTAATAGTGTACACATGTGGAGAGTGTACATTATTTTAATAAGTGTACACTTGTGAAGATGTACACATGTACACATATAATTGTACACGTTTTTTTAAAATGAGTGGCAATTTTGTAATTAAATCATCTTCTTTCTGTTAGGGTATCCTGTGTTTCTGGAATTAAATCTCACAGCCGCCATTGATTTTCTTCATGAAGTTTTTCCTTTTTTTTTGCGACTTTACCTTTAGAACTTAAAAATATTGTAATAATTAACCGATTAGATCCAAACCAAGTGAAAAACAAGTTTTCTCATAATTTTTGAGTTTTAACAAATTATAACCATAAAGTTATAGATTTTCTTCGCCAATCATCAATCCATTTGTTTTCGATGACGCCTAGCTTCCCGGATTTTGAGTCCACCCATGAACATTTGTAGTCAACGGAGACGACACCATTGCTTCCCGGATTTAAAGATTTCGTCGCAGGTAAACTTGGAGATAGAAATGAACTTTAAAATTCTTCTCTTCGTTAGTTTCTAAAGATTCCAGAAATAAAAGGTAAATTTGCCGGAGTATAAAGTAAATTCTGAAAAGGTTTTGTTTAGCTGGAAAAAGAAAGAAAGAGAAAATGAAGAAAACAGAGGAAAGAAGGTGAAAAAGATTTGTAGAAGAAGGAAGAGTTGAGATGGGTAAAAAAATGGGACCTACTAATTATAATTTATTTTAGTTTCAACCATTACACGTAACTAAAAGGAAGAAAGTTAGAGAAAAGTGCTCTAGTAGTGGAAACTGACTTATTATGTTATAAAAAACTTAAATCTGCCTCTGAGTGTAATATTTTCGAAAACGAACAAGTAGATATTACTGACGTACATATATACTATAAAAAGTCTGGTATGACGTACGTACATAGTTTTATTACAAAGCAAGTTAACTTCCTTTGACCAGAGGTGTTATTACAGGTAAAGTACTGAGACTTGTAGAGCATGCAACTCTGAATAGGATACTACAAAACAAAACAAGAAACAGTTTCACTTTCTGGATTTAAATACACGTTAACAACCAGCGTGGAAAAAAAAAAAGAAAAAAGAAATCTAAAATATTTGGACTCTGTAGATAACATCACGCAGAAAGGAAAAGCTTCAAATCCAGAATTATTTAAATGTGCTCCATTAATTAATACACTTTAACACAAAGAACAATTAAACAAAGAACAAACAGAGAGAGAGAGATTGAGTTGAGTTCGACCATTAACTTTGAGACTCCATACGCTTCACTCCGATTCGCAGAAAGTTTCCAAGAGACTACACAACAGAAGATTTTTAATCTTTTTTGTTTTGTTTTATTTTTGTTAATCCAATCCGTAACTACCTTCGTTGTTATTGTTTATTATTACATAAGCTCTTCTCTTTGGTCTTTTTAAAGATTCTTCCTTTTTTTCTTTCCTACTTCCTCTTCTTCTCCGTTGAGGAAGTTCTCATATTCAGATCGGGATCAACGATTCCTCTGATTTGGATTTTTTCTTCTGGGTTTTCAATCTCTGGGTGTAATTGGGTATCCAGATTTGAAATCTAGAGATCTAAAGCTGACATTTTTATTGTTTTTTGGCTGTTGGGTTTTGATTTTTGGTGTTTGGATCGGTGATTCTAATCGAGATTTGAGGATAATCTATTGAAAGTTTTATTCTTTCAATCTGAATTCGTCTCTCTGTTTCTGGGATTTTACAAGATTACTATCTCTCTGTTTCATTCTCTTGATAAAGGATTTGTCTTTGAATCTCTCTCTCCGGTGAAATAGATGGTTGAAGATCGGTCATATCTGTTATCAAGAGTCTTCTCAGCTTCTCGTCCCTCAGAAACCAGGTGGGATCATCACATGCATCCACCACAAGAAGATTCCTCCTCTGTTTCTAACCTCACAAACGGCAAAAGAGCTTTGGCTGATGATGATGCAGAGCTCAAAGACGGTCTCAGACAACGCAAATCTCTCAAACTAACCGATGATGATTCACTTATCAACGACATCATTGGCAGAGACATTTCAATAAGCTGTCTGATTCGTTGCTCCAGGTCTGACTACGCTTCAATCGCTTCCTTGAACCGGAGTTTCCGGTCCCTGGTTAAGTCCGGAACCATTTACAGACTCAGGAGACAGAACCGGATCATTGAACACTGGGTTTACTTCTCTTGCCAGCTCCTGGAATGGGTTGCGTTCGACCCCGTGGAAAGAAGATGGATGAATCTGCCAAAGATGCATTCAGGTGATACCTTCATGTGTACTGATAAAGAATCACTCGCTGTGGGAACAGATTTGCTTGTATTAGGCAAAGATGATGGCTCTTCTCACGTTGTGTATAGGTACAGTCTCTTGACTAACTCTTGGTCTCCTGGTAAGAAGATGAACTCTCCGAGGTGTTTGTTTGGCTCAGCTAGCTCAGGAGAGATTGCTATCTTCGCCGGTGGTTGTGATTCTCTAGGGAAGATCAGTGACGTTGCGGAGATGTATAACTCTGAGCTTCAGACGTGGACTACGCTTCCTAAGATGAACAAGCCGAGGAAGATGTGTTCTGGTGTGTTTATGGATGGGAAGTTCTATGTGATTGGAGGGGTAGGAGGCGGCGAGGAGTATGACTTAGAGACCAAGAAATGGACTGAGATACCGGAGATGTCGCCGCCGAGGAGCAGGGAGATGCCAGCATCAGCAGAAGCGCCACCGCTCGTCGCGGTTGTGAACAATGAGTTGTATGCTGCGGATCATGCTGGTATGGTGGTGAGGAAGTATGATAAAGTGAGTAAGAAATGGTTTACGTTAGGGAGGTTGCCTGAGAGAGCTGGTTCGGTTAATGGTTGGGGGTTAGCGTTTAGAGCTTGTGGTGAGAGGTTGATTGTGATTGGTGGACCTAGGAGCTCAGGTGGAGGGTTCATTGAGCTGAACTGTTGGATACCAAGTAGGGATGGAAGCTCTCCTGTGTGGACATTGCTTGATAGGAAACATTCTTCTAATTTTGTTTACAATTGCGCGGTGATGGGTTGCTGACAAAGTTTTGCAAATTGAAAATCAAGATTCTTGGCTGCTTGGGAGGTCTAAAGATGCATGCAGTCTTTTCTTATTTATTTTGTTATACAATTTAATTCAGTTTCAATACATTGGTCTTGGTTGTATTGTTAGGTTCTTGAGGGCAAGAAACAGAAACAAGTTTTACAGTAAGTTGGTGGAGAAAGTTCAGTCTTTCAGTTCTGTTAAAAGTTGTTGAATTTGTGTTTCTGAATACAATCTTTTCGTTATATCTTGGAATATTTATATATCATTCGTTCTTTGCAAAAACATGTATTTATGTTTTTCCTCTCAGAAAAGAGAAGACTAATGACTTTTAATCTCATGGACTTAGTTGTAACTTGAAGCTCCCATTGATATTTTTGCTTGCAAGTAATACCCTAAACTCATTTTAAACAGTTACCTTCTTCGGTTCTCTGCTTTGAGAGTTTTTAGACCTTTTGATTCCTTCTTCAGAAAATATTGCAGGAAAAAATTTGGAAAAAGAAAGATGGACTCTACACATGAAAATGGCAGGTTTGAGTCTAATTTTTGACATGTAGATTTCTGTCATTTTCTTTTAGATCACTCAGCCTAATACAATTCATTAGATTTTAGATCATAAATATTAAAAGGACATCCACCTAAGTTAGAGTGAGTTAATAAACTAGACCTAACACTAGCTAGCTAAGCTAAATTCAAATCAATGCACTTTTATAATAGCTGGCAAAAGAAAATGTAAGAAATGAATAAATAATCCAATCATCCATCTATGTGATTACTTTCTAGAAGTTTTAAAGAAAAAAGACGTTTCTCTTCAGTACTATATACTACTCTTTTTAACTTTTTTTTACTTGGACAGAAATCAATTCAATCAGTAAACTGAATAACAAATCTTCAAGAAACGAATCCTACTTTAGCATTAGAGTATTACACACCAGTGTAGTTGACCAATTTTAAGTGTTCAAATCCTTTGATTTCACTAGTTTTGCAGAAAGTATAATCAAATGTTTTGTAATGAGAACACAAAACAAAACCTTGCAAAAGAAGAGCCAACATAGAAAGAACAATATCTTTTCACAAAGGTCCATAAATACTGAATGTGTCCAACTATAAAATTTAACAATACTTTCAAGGATAAGTAAAAAGATTCAGACTGAATATTATTCTTCACCGAGAGGCAAGAGTAAACTACAGTTCAGAAACTTCAATAGGTTGCTGGCAAAAAGGCACTTCCTGGCTGACGGTTAGCCAAAGGTCCATGACATGACAGGAACTGCAAAAGAAACCAAAACATTGTTAAATTCAACAACAAAAGACTCGTTACAATAAACCCAAGAATCAAACATGTTATAACAATTTGAGATTACCTTAGCATTAACACCATCAGGAACAACACGCTTCTCTTGCCTCAACTTCGTAAAGTCTGCTCTGTTAAACTTAGTAAATCCCCTGAAACAAAGAGTCACAAACTTTATGAGCTTAGCAACAAACAAACTAACAAAACTTGATTCTCAAGGATCATCAAAATCATTACACACCATTTCCTGCTAACAATAATCTTTTGACGACCAGGGAACTTAAACTTAGCCCTCCTCAGAGCCTCCTGAGCATGATGACCATGAGCATCCTTACACCTCACAGACAAAAGCACCTGACCAATCGCAACCCTAGCACAAGTCCCCAACGCTTTTCCAAAAGCACCTCTCATACCAGTCTGAAGCCTATCAGCTCCAGCACACGAAAGCATCTTATTAATCCTCAAAACATGGAAAGGATGAACCCTAATCCTCAGATGGAACGCATCTTTCCCCGCAGATTTCACCATATACTTGTTGCAAGCGATACGTGCAGCTTCAAGAGCTTCGCTAGAGACGTTCTCCTTCTCCCATGAGACGAGGTGGACACAGAAAGGGAACTCGTCAACACCTTTCTTCTTCATGCCGACATCGTAGATCCTGATCTTGGGATCGGGGACACCACGGCAGTAACGAGATTTAGGGTAGGGTTTACCCTTGATCTGACGGTAACACCTAGCTGGTCCTACAATGATTTTTTTTCAGATTTTAGTTAAAAACACTATTAGAGGAAAGACATAGCTTAAAGATTAGTCTCCGACAAGACATAACTAATCAACAGTAACACTTAAAGTCATTTTAACGTGTGTGAAAGAAGACAAAAGCCAATATTAATTTTAATCTACGACGGGACATAACTAGCTAACTAGAGTAAGGAGAAAGCTAATAACACACTAAGCCATTTTAGAAGACATTTTAACAAAGGTGATAACATGAAGAAACTTACTTCTTCCCATGGCGTCTCTCTCCTTTTCCTCCTCTACCTGACGACAGGGCTGCTGGTGCTCGAACAAGCTTGAGCAAATGCCTTAGAATTTATACGTGTGATATTATTGTCTAGGTCAACTAAAAGGCTTTTCATTTGGGTTTGGGAGAAAGCCCACATATAATATAAAGAGACTTTTAATGGCCAATATAAAATGTTGGACATTTACGGCCCATATAACTGCGTCGCGTAAAAGTTTTTTTTGGTAGGTAAATTTGACGGAAAATAAATTAACATGTTATCTTTTTTTTTTCCAACAATTTAACATAGTTGCCCGCATCAGTGATGCTAGATTAAGAAAAATCATAGTTGTAAGATGATTCTATGCATCTCATGCTGGCAAATTAACATCTTATCTTTCTATGGATTTTTTTTTAATTAATTAGATGAGTCATGTTTATATATCTAATGTGATATATTGCCTTACAACTCATGATGGTATCGTATCAACAAAAGTGATAGTCGACGCGTCTAGATTGTAATGTCGTTGAAAACCTCAATGTTTATAAAAGAAACCAACACATACATCTTTCAGTTTCTACATTGCACAAAATCCGAAACTCTAAACTTTACATACATTGGATGGCACGGATCTATCTTAGATTCGTTTACTTTAAAAAAAAAAAACAACCGTGTACTAAGTTAGGACACTCCATCACGCTTTTACTTGTGAGAAAGCCAACTCAGAAGGACACGAAGGTTTTCTTGTGATGATCATATAGCTACCTCATCTTGATTACACCACACATGTCTCACTAATTTCATCGGAAAAGTATGTCAATAGCACTGCAACAAGTGAACTAAAGAGAGATTGATTCAATAGATCCCTTCTTTCCATTTATTGCAAGTTACTCTTTCACATCAAATCTTTTTCTGATGATACCACTCAAGTACTTGAGTTTTGGTGTAATTCAAGGCTCCATGGACATATAATTAACCATGGCTCTAGGTTGGCGTGAGCTGAGCACTAACGCAAACTGGCTGACCAAAGCTGCTGCTTCCTGCTCAGTCAATGATTTTTTGTAATTAACAAAGTGTCAAAATGATGTGAAAATTTTGTTAGCTAGTAAGTGTGTTTTTAAAAAGCTAACCTGTCTTTCTCTTCGCCGATGCAAGATACCAATGGCTGAAACCATGATGTAGCAAGGAAGAAGAAAAGTGGCAGCTCGGAGTAAGAAAAGCTGCACAAAGAGATTTAACATTATTTTTCTGTGGTTTTGAAGTTGGAACCATATGAATAAAATCTGTTATAAAAAACTTGGTTTCAACTTACAGAAAGTATTGAAGAAGGGTCGTCATCCTCTTCACCATCTGCATAATCTGGTATAGTCAGTGCGTATCGCAATAGAAGAGTCATCATCTGCAAGAAAACAATAGAGGGATGTTATTATAACTCATCAGTAAAAAAAAATGTTAGTGTGTTCGAAACTTTTTTCAAGAATCTTTTATAGGCTTACAATTAGAGCAGATATGCGGAAAAATGCAGCTAGACTAGTATCTGGTTCTGTATAATCATCATACTCCAAGTCTAGAATCTGACGTTCAGCTTCTTCAATTGCCAGTAGATGTGGATGGTCTAAATCCAAACCTGAGATTGTCCATCCTCCACTACACACATATATTCTTAAGTTAGAACAATTACAAGTCATATATATATATATATATAGTAATGTATGGGATAGCTATGAAACTGATCATATACCCAATATCAATAGTAGTTTCATCAGATTGGAGTGGAGGTGGTGGAGAGGTATATCCAGCTTGGTATGGCTGGACAAGACAAGTAAAAAGGTTGTCAAATTTTAAACTTATATAGAATTTTTACAGTAAATGCATAGACTTGGAACTAATTCATAAGTATTGGCTAAAAGGTTTAAGAAAAACAGTTATCTACATTTGGCTATCTTTCACAACTCACTGAAACATTGGCATTTGACTCCATAAATTTTTGAAGATGATATACATAGCCATAAGCCCTTAAATAGTTTTTTAAAAAATCTAAAACTTCTTAATAAATATTTATGAACTCCTAAATATTATAACCGGCTCTAAAAGATTAAAACAGAGTTGAGAAAACGTTGTATACCTGATGACAGATCTCACATATAGTATTTCCTTTTTCATTGCACCAACGTTGAACACATTTTCTATGAGCATACTGTCCAAAAAACATTTAAAGTTCGTTTCTCTCAGCATCTTCCTGGATAATAATCATAGTTTCTTGGTTATGAACAATGAGAAAAAACTACCTTTAAGCTTCCATTGCAAGCACATGGGCTCTCAAGATTCTTAATAGCAGATTCCTCCTGACAAATACGACACTCCCTCCACCAAACCACTGAATCCTCCTCTTCCTCTCTGATACCACACGGCTCAGGTGCTTCCGAGTCAACCACCTCCGGGAGAACCGGAGGTAAGGGAACCGGCTGCATCAGTCGGTCGACGTATACCACCATTTGTTCACTCATCTCTGCCTCACAAGAAAATCAAGAAAAATCACCTGAAAAAGTTTAAGAAGAGAAGGGTTTATAGCGTGAGCAGGGAGCTTTCTTGTCCTTGATTTAAGAGCAGAAATATCGGGAGGAATGTTAGCAGAGACGCAAAGAAGTTGTGGTTTGCTTTCAAAACAAAACAAAATCTGGGGAAGATAGAGACAACTTCCAAGATTTTTTTCCCGTAAATCAAGCTAATGGAAAGCAGCTTTTTATAGCGAAAGAAAAGAGGTGAGGAAACAGAGAGAGATAAACGGCGTCAGAAAAGTTTAACGGCTCCGTTAGGAATAGCCGTTGACTGTAGTTTTAAATTTTTTAATACTTAATAACGGCTCCTAATAGTTATTATAATTCATATTGACAACATAGATTACAGTTTAGGTAGAGGAATTAGAGAATAATATGCCTACTGATTTACAAATACAACTTGTCTCTTAATTCAGAACCGAGTCAAATCATTCGAAATGAAAACAACATAAAACCATTTATTATTTTCGCTCGAATGAGTTCAAACAAAGCTACTCAATTTCATAAGTATATCATTTATTCATTTAGATTTTAATTTTCTGAAAATGTCGTTTTAAATTTTAATTAGAAATGTATATCTTATTGACCTTTTTATTTTGTTGTGTCTACTTTTTTAATGTTTGATAATAAAAACTAAAAATGAGTATGCATTGATACAAAATACGTAGTTGTTTGAAATAGATGGAGTTTTCTAAAACAATATTCGCATTATGATTGATAAGGTTAAATGCAAGATATAAGTACGACTATGAAGAATGGGTATAAGATTCATTAAAATAAGTAAACACTTGGTCTTTTTATTTTACTAAGTTAACACTTGGTTTGAAGAACATTATAGAACTCACATCTTTTTTCTTAAGAAGACTGATTAATGTCGTTGACCATAAATGATCATATACATATTTGTCGACTGTTTTATTTTTTATAGACCTAGTTGTTGTATGTTTTGGAAATTATTGACCGTTGAGTTATAGAAATGCTCAGCTACAAAAGAATGATTCAATAAGGAAAGACATGGTCACGTCTACTGTCTTCTGTCTACATATTTCAACAAATGTAATAGTTTGTCTGACACAGATGATGAATGCAGACAGACGCTCTTGCTTCTTAACGTTATATAATCTTTAATAATTTGCTTATCGTACGGAGAAATCTAATGTTACTTTTATAGTAAGAAAAAGATTTCTAATGTAAATTTCTTCGGTGAAATATACTTACCGTTAATATCAACCTAATATAAGATTAAGAAAATCCACCAAAAATACATGGGATACAAAACTTGAATGCTTTTATGTTATAACTCACTAGTCACTACTTCTGAAGAACATAAACCTATATGCGTTTTATCACTTGATCTGATTTAAATCAATTATAATTTTCACGGAAAATTGAATATTAATCTCTCAATTACAGAAGATTCAAGTCTAGTACGCAAAAAAAGAAGTCTAAGCTAACCTTGACATCTACAGAGTAAGAAGAGGATGTTTTGCGAATAGAGGTTTGTGGCTTGGATCAGCAGAAGTACATATAGGATTGATATTTATTTTATAGATCTACTCATAAACAATTTCCGAAGTTATTGCCGTAGAATATAAGTGGTTTATAAAAATATATTTTCACTGAGCTCATGTGATAATTGATCCAAAGGAATTTTTATATGGATGTTGGATGATTAGAGGTTTGATCACCAAACTCATGCATTTGTGGTTTGGTGCGTGAAACTCTCTCAAATTTCTTTCTTTGTTCTTTTTAACATATCTTAAACGATCTATATACACTTTTAATTTGCAATTTGCAGATTTGATGGGGGTAACGTCGATTGGTCCCAGAAGACCATAAGTAAGCCATTCCAACCTGGGGGTGGTACTACACTGATCCGTACAAGTAACTGACCTATCGGTCTTTGCTTTCCTAGTTAAACTCAACCACAACATTTTCAAATAAATTTCTCCAAACCGTCCGGGTCATAATAATATTATAAACAACAATTGTTTCAGTCATCAAGCCCTAAGTTCTATATAAACTCCAATAAAATCATCATCGCATAGTAGTGCGCTTTCTCCTCCAACATATAAACTCTAGACTCTTTTCTTCTCATGCTTCATATTCTTCTTCTTCTTCTTCACGTCATCCTTCACATTGATAACATCCACACGGCTCATCTGAAGTTGAAACGCAGGAACAATCTTGCTTCCGCAGCTACAAAAACTTCCTAACCAGTCAAAACTTCCAAGTCTAGCTTTACACTTGGGACACAATAACTTTCCTTCAGGCACATCATCTTCCACAGCTAAGTTAACGAGAGAAAATCAGACTAATCAAGAAAACCAATACAGATCTACAATGTGCATAATTAAAGAGTATTTACCTTCATTCATCCAATTGAGAGGCTCAACGAAAATAGAAGTACATTTTTTCTGATCACCGGGATTCTTGTTGTTAACCTCTCCCATCATGTTTTTAAACATGTTATCAAACTCTAAATCAGCCTCACCAGGAGTGTGAACAATGACTTGCTTCTCAAACAACAAAACATTCCTGCATTTCTTGCACTGGTACGTACTACCACTACCCTCGTTTGACATTCCTGGATCAGCCCTTAACTTTAGTTTGTCAAATCTCTTATCTTTGCTGTATAAATAACCTAGTATAGCAAAACAACAAAACATCATATAATACATGACCAAACGTGAATGCACTTATTATAATGAAATAAATCAAACCTAAAGTTTTTAGACGGAAATGCTTGTAAATAGGGCTGGAACGGTCAACTTTGAAGTTCATTCTTTCAAACAAATCCAACTGCAAGATGTGAAAACATTGATGATTATTATGAACATTCACATCGCTTCACACAGGTGTAACCTAAACAATATATATAATTAGTATTCACCTGTTTTAAGAAGCCAAGATTGGGTCTAGCGTGAGCACTTTGCTTCAGTGACGCCAACGCATCTGTAAAAACAAAACAATATATCAATTAAAGAGAATCATGAGAGATCATTCTAAAAATCATAGTACATACCTTGACACGAAAGCTTTTCGGTCCTCATTAGATACGCAGTAACCATAGAAGCACTGAAACAAAAACGTAATAGTTATAGTCAAGAGAAAGCTTCAAAACGTTAATTAAGCGTAATGAAAACAATTAACAAAACTAACTAATGATTTTACCTTCGAGATTCTCCTGCAAAGCAATGAACTAAAACACCTTTGTCTTTACGTCCAGCATCAATAAAGTCCAAGCAAATATCGAAAAAATCAAGTAGATTCTCCCATTCTTTATCGTAAGCAAAGACAGCCATTCTAGTAAACTTGAGATCTTTGCCAGTATGCTCAAGTGAATATAGAAGATTGCCAGATGGCAACGCACTCTCTGTCGCAAACTCTCTGCCTTGATGATCATCACCACCAACATAAACTTCTTTGATTTCTTTGGAGTCTAGTTTCACGTTTTGCCATTCCTCGAACACGGATATGGAAGGGCAGTGTAAAACTGTAAGAACGTGTGAAATCTCAGAGCTACCATTCTTGAGGATTTCAGCAGCCGCACAAATATCGCCGAGGTATAGATTCTCCCTAATTAGGTCAAGCTTCTGCATATCTTCCTTAAGAAAAACCCTAGACAAGTTCAAGAAAAAAAAAACAAAAAAAAAAGTATTGGACGAAGTTTTTCAATGGAAAACAAAAACTAATTCCTAAACAATTAAAGGCTCATAAAACTATGTTTGTGGCAATAATTAAAAGTTTAGCATCGTGACATGTCTACTTCTAAATTGTAGCAAACCAAAATAAGTAGCATGTTATTATCAAATTATTAATCAAATAATACTTAGAGACAAGTCATCCTTGTTGAACACGTCAGAAGAGTAACTCACACACACAAATTACAGACAATTTCCAAAGTAAAGATGCAGATCACACTAATCTAAGTTGAGCCTTTTTCCACACATTGATGCATCTAAATAAGAATCTGTTGATTGTTTTGAAAACAGCACACACTAGATTCTAGACAGAAACATAGCACGACTTCTTCTTGTTCCGAAAGAAGCAAAAGACATGTCTCAATAAAAAAAAAACAGATGGCTCATACAGATAATTTCACTAAACATGTTCAGTGTTCAACGATTTCGTTCCCATCAATTAGAAAAATCACCATAAACATACCCTAGATTTCGTTTTCGTCTGTTAGAGCAACTTAAGACTAAACACTGACCTTTAATTTAAACCCTCGCAGATAGTGATTTAATGTCGCACAGACGATACAACAAAATTTTAGTGGATTCGGCTAGGTTCCAGAGAAGAACGAATAGAGGCGAGGTCTGAGAAGAGGAACGCGAGATCGATGAGGTTTGGTTTGTAGTTATCTATATATATCTTATTATATAAAGTTTGGTTACTCAAAGTTACTAATTAACACGATCACGACACATGGCAAATTATTAGTTAAGATTGTGACATGTGTTAAAACAAATTGTTCAAAAAAACATATTTTTCCTCTTTAAAATATTTCTACTCTCATAATGCTAATTTTCCTTTATTAAAATTCTAACTAAAAAGTTTAAAACGAAAAAAAAAATCTTATCTTATAATAAAACTTTTTTACAATTATCATTAAAATAAAACGATTTTTAAAAATAAAAAGGTCAAAACGAAAAAAAGAATTTTATTATAAAAAAACGTTTTTTAAAAAAAAAATCTTATCTTATAATAAATTTTTTTTCAATTATTATTAAAATAAAAGGAGTTTTAAAAATAAAAAGGTCAAAACGAAAAAAAAATAATTTATTATAAGAAAACGTTTTTTTATAATTTTTATTAAAATACGATTTTTAAAATAATTTATTAAATAAGAAAAATCTTATTATAATAAAACGATATTTAAAAAATTCATAGTAATTTGAATTTTAACAAAACCTATTCCAAAACCGAATTGTAATTATCCTTTTCAAAATATAAACAAAAAAATGATAAAGACTGTTTTATGCTAATTGTTCTTTACAATTAAGAAAAGATAATCGTAAAAAAAAATATATAATAATTATATTTTTCCTTTTTAAAATATTTCTACGCTCATAATGTTAATTTTGCTTTATTCAAATCCTAATTAAAAAGGTCAAAACGAAAAAAATATTAGATAGTAATTATCCTTTAAAAAAACATAAACAGTTTCCTACTCTCATAATAAAAAAGGATAATTTAAAAAAAAACATATTTTTCCTTTTAAAAATATTTTTACTCTCATAATGCTAATTTTCTTTTATTCAAATTCTAATTAAAAAGGTCAAAACGAAAAAAAAAGAATCTTATTATAATAAAATGATTTTTTAAAATACTTTATTAAATAGGAAAAATCTTATTATAATAAAAATTTTTTTTTAAAAAATTCATAGTAATTTTAATTTTAACAAAACCTATTCCAAACCGAATGTAATTATCCTTTTTAAAATATAAACCGAAAAATGGAAAAACTATTTTATGCTAATTGTCCTTTATAATAAAAAAAGATAATTGTAAAAAAAATATTTTTACTTTTTAAAATATTTCTACTCTCATAATGTTAATTTTCCTTTATTCAAATCTAATTAAAACTTAACGAAAAAAAGAAATATTAAATAGTCATTATTCTTTTAAAAAAACTTAGACGAAATAAATGTTAAATACTGATTAATGTTATTTTTCCTTTATTAAAATCCTAATTAAAAATATCATAATCCAAGAGGAACTATGATTATTCACATCTCTATATATAGAACTAAGATCTCTCCTATTTGGTCACTTCTCATATTTTATCACCAAGCATAATTATTGATTCAAGAAAAATATAAGGTGAAGTTCGATGTTGTTTTCTTCTTATAAAGTTATGGTTGATCGTTGTCATGATTATTGTTTGATCGTTGTCATGCTTCTGAGTTCTGTCTTTTTTTTTATCGAAACTTCTGAGTTGTCACATAACAATACATTTAAAGTTATTGCCACCACACCATAACATCGCTGTCACATAAAAATTTTCTTTTGAATATTGCGACATGTGTAAGAATATTTCATGGATATAATATATATACTATGAAACTAAAAAATGAATTTCTGAAACAAGTAATTTTTAAAACAAATAATTTCAAAATTATTTAATATTAAATATAAATTTCAAAATTATTTAATATTAGTTTTTCAGAAAAATTCTTTTTTTTTTAAATCCTAAAGAAACAAATATGTAAAATAATTTTGAATATTAAATATGAAACTTTTAAAAATAATATTCCATTGTAATTTTTTTTTTAAACTGTACATGTGTTAAAATATCTCATTTTTAAGAAAATTAAAATAAAAAATTATTTAATACTATTTTCTCTACTTTTTTCTTTAGTAAAAATTTTCCATTTCTATAATTGAAAAAAGAATTGATAATGAAATTTATAGATTTGCAATGATAATGCCAAGTTGACAATATTGTAAGAATGCTACAAACTGTATTAATCTGACAACGGACAAATCCAATTCTAGACTTTTGGTAATATTATTTGAGTTTCTAATTTGACTGGGATAGGTTATGGCAAACTAAAACTATTTATGGTTATATTTTTTTTTTCTCATTTTACTTAATTATAATGAAATAAATATAAAAAAAGAACAATTAATAAAAACAAAAACATTATTGACTATTTTAAAACACGAAGCAGAAAAATTAAAAATTATGTCAAAATAGGTTCTTAATTCAAAAATGTGTCACATAATATACACCTAAATTCTAAAATTGATGTAAAAAAATTTCTCATTCTTTTTATGTTTTCATAAAACAAAAAAATCAAACAAACCCGTGCAACGCACGGGTCCATACCTAGTATATATATATGCTTAGGTT